TTTTTTTTTTTTTTTTTTTTTTTTTTTTTTTGAGAAAGCCAGTTCAAGGCTGGCCTTGAACTCATAATCCTCCTGCCTCAGCCTCCCAGAGTGTTGGGATCACAGGCGTGTCCTACCGGGCCAGGCCAAAATTTGTTTTTGTGACTATTCAAAACACTGTATACACATGTCTCCCTGTACATTTAGGAAAACTTTATAGCTCTGGGGTAGTGAAGGAAACCGGTTATAGACTAAAGCTTTTTAAATGTCTCGCTACCCTGTCAGAGGAGATGGAACGGAAGATAGAAGAGCTCAGCGCCCCCGTTTTACTGTGTACCACCTCCAAGGAAGAAGGTCACGGTGTAATAAAGACTGAAACAATGGCACAGTTGGAGGCTGCACAGATTCTCTAAACTCGGAACAATGGCGAGTGACGAATGAGAAGATTACACGGCACCGTGTGACCCTGGCAGGCAGCCCGGACGCAGCCTGCTCCCAGGGGATCGTCCTGAACACTGCTCACAGAAAAGGGCCCCAGACAGCCTGGCACAGAGGGCTCCCTCACTTCGTTTTGGAGACACAGGTGTTTGCTGCCACGGGACACGAAAGCAGGAAGCACGGTGTACCAGAGCTACTTGAAGAGTATTCAGTGAGGACGAGGTGACTCCGGGGTCCTTTTCAGAGGAAAACGGAGACCAGAAATGCTCCAAATAACTTTGCCTGTTTCCAAAAGCCACTGTCACCCTTGAAGACCAGACAAACTTGGCAGCATGAAGGGCAGTGGCAATTCCAAATGAAGCATTCATAAAACATTTTGAGCAATGACTCAGAAAAAACATCATTTTATAATAATTTGGAAGGAGACAATATAGCTGATATATTAGTTCTGGGATGTTAGACAAACCAGGTGTTATTATAAAATGTCTCAGAGAGCCTATATTCATTTTTATCTCCTTTAACACAAATCAAAAGTTATAGCTTATTAGTTCAAGCCAGAAATACGAATTAGTGTAAATTAGTAGGAATTGGAATACATTTCTGTAATAGCCCCAAGAATCTAGGAGATGGTACACTTTCTTCTGAGGATGCTGAGGATTGAACCCAGGGTCTTTGCACTAAGCTTCATTCCCAGTCCTTTTCATTTTTTTTCTTTTGAGACAGGGTCTCACTAAGTTGCCCAGATGGGACTCCCATCTTGTGATCCTCCTGCCTCAGCCTCCCAGAGTGCTGGAATTGCAGGCATTGCCACCACACCTGGCTGACAGCACACTTCTAAAGGCCAATGGATTCATTCCATGTTTTGAAATATAATCTTATTAGTAAAGTATACTGGAAAGATGTAGGCAAAGAGAATCTCTTGATTTGAAGAAATCTAAATGTCAAATGTTTTATTTTTGAAACAAGTTATAAAGAAGTATTTATTCCAATAAGCATCAGTTTCTAATACTAGAATGATGAATCCAGTAGTAATTTAAAGTGGACTAGATACCAAGATCACAGTTTTAGAGAACCATCCTACAATCTCTGGTGACATATTTTTATTTCTTTAGAGGCCAATTCCTGTCCTAACTTCCAGAAGAATCCAAATTGTTTCTTAACCTAGAATTTCAATTTTATTTTGTGAAAATATGTGGGTCATCAGTGGGGGCTTAAATGTTATGACTGGAGATAGATAATGAGAAAAATACATTTAGACACTAAGCCAAGTTTTGAGACAAGGAGGGACAGTACCTTTTCATGGTGCTTGGCGCTCGTACGTGTGTGTGTGTGTGAGAGTGTGTGTGAGAGTGTGTGTGTGTGTGTGTGCGCGCACACGCGAGCGCACTGCCGAGTACACTGGGAACCTCCATGTGCAGTGTGTGAAATAAGCAGTCACTCTGGCACACTGATGGGCAATCTTTAGCACTGGGAAGCACTGCAGGACACTCGCTGTTCAAGCTTTATTAAAGGCACTGCTCCCTACATCTTCCCTTAGATATGCTTTATATCCATCTAGCAGGACATTTTGGAAGCTCAGTGTTTTACTCATAATGTACTTCTAATCATCAAACTCCTGACACCAGAAAAGAAAAGAAAAGAAAAGAAAAGAAAGGCAGAAAGAAAGAAAATTGAGGTGGTGGACACAAATATTTCATGAGCAAGAGAACTGGAACTAAGTTTGGTCACCGACTTCATACCTGTCTCAGCAAGCTTTACACATGGTACTGCACAGCAGAAAAAGCAGGGTTAGGGGTCTGGGTACTAGTCCAGCTCCGCCACTTACCAGCCATGTGACTTGGGGCAAGTTCAGTTTCCTCATCTGTAAAATGGGGATACATTATCTCATTTAATACTCACAACAAGCCCTACGATACACGTCAGAGTGTTAGCACAGTGTCGGCCCACGGCAGGTATCCACCACATGTTACATACCCTCCTTATGTTCTGAAAGACTATTTCCAAATTATGCATATATTAGTTACATGATTTATAACATCTATAAATAAAAATTCCCCTGGAGTTTCCCTTCCACTAAACCTGAGGAATCGAAATATATGGTTCTTATGCTTTATTTTGGGTAAGAATATGTCTAAAAACCTTTTAAAATCTCTATTTTTATATCTCTTTAGAGGGTAAATTATTAAAGCATAAAATATACTTTTCAGTATATATCATCACTTAAAACAGAGGGGAATCACAAATGAACAAATGTTGCATTCTTGTCAGAACGTTAAGGAAAAACTCCACAAATCAAAGTAGGGAACAAAGACACAGGTAAGGAGCCCAGACAAACACCAGTCTTAACAGATTTCAAAGCAAAAGGATTTGTCAACACCCCAAATGATGATGATTTTGGTTATCCATTTACTGAGGCACCTGCAGTCCCGGGCATTAATGAAGATGTGCCGCACACCTGCCCCCCCAGCACACTCCTATCCCCCAGTCCAGCCTCCCCGCCTGGGGTTCCACCGCTCCATATTCTCCGGGAAGATTCAGTCCTGCATAAAATGACTGTTTAAGCACTGAACATTTCAAATTTGTTATCATTCCTTTAATGCATGGACCACATGGAACAGTCATGACATACTTTTCAGCTTTATCTAGATGTAGTTGACAATAAGAACTGCATGTATTCAGGAAGTATAAGGTGATGCTGCGAGAGAGAAATGATTCCCACAATCAAGCTCAGTTACGTTTACCCTTGGTAGGCCATTTAAGATGACGCTAATTTCCTCTTATGTACGTATAGGCAGTGTACGGCTTGCTATTGTCACTCACGTTGCACTAGCATTTGTTTACCAGTGTCAGGTGAATTTTGACAGCGAAGTAGCAGGGCAGGAACAGAACCAGCGGTGTGTAAAGACTCAGACAGGTTCACCACTGCCCCTGTCAGTCTGGAAGTCTTTACCTCTTGGTCCGCACCGGGTCACACACAGAGAGCAGAACGGTGCCTGCCATGTGTCGTGTGTGGGTAAGATGCCTCTGGCTCAGCCCTCAGGGAGGCCCACCCTGACCCCTTCACTGGCATTTCCTGCTTCCCGTGTGTCACTCAGAATCTGACAGTTGCTTTGAAAGCCCTTCCTTCGATTTTTATTTGCAACACTAAGTGATTTTTCAAATATTTATATAAATGCAGAGGACCATAATTATATTATCAGGCCATATATTCATGCAGGAAAATCAAACAAGGTGATGTAAAAGAAATGTCAAATTACATGTACAATTCTTTTAAAATACTAGGAAAACAGCATAACAGCCTTTGTTAATTTCATTCCCACGGAGCTTTGCAGTTTCATTGAAACTTAAGGTAGCTAAGAGACTTATTATTTTCATTTCCAATATGATTATAACTTGCTCTGCTACCAAATTCAAGAAGTTATTACAACCTGATCAAAGCCATTCTTTTATATCAAAATGTCCAACAAAAATCACTGCCAAGAGCCTCTTTTCACAAAGTAACATATATCCCCTTGTTTTCATGCATTAAAAATTGAGATGCTATTTTCCAAATTTGAATACTGGGAACACTTTTTAACATTTCAAAAACCCAGCTGAAATACAACTTACTGACTCAGAATTTAAAAGATAGGAAGTTTCATTCCTAACATAACTCAGAAATAAAGCAACTCTAAAACGTGAATGATACCCAATAAAGATACTACAGATATTCATTTTTTAATTGATTCTAGGATTTTATGAGTAAGTACTGCTAAAATCTTTTCATGGTAAAGTAAGTATTGCTAAAATCTTCTCAGTCATGGTAGACACTGGATTTCACTTACATTCAGGGTTTCCCAACTCCAAGCTGTGGACCAGTAATGGGTCATAAAATCAATTTCATGGCTCAAGAACAGCATTTTAAAAAGAAAAAAAACTTGTATTTGAAACTTGTTTTATAACACACATACACAGAGAGAGAGAGAGAGAGAGAGAGAGAGAGAGAGACACGGGGGCCCACTGAGTCGTGATATAAAATGCTAGTTGTGGCCACTTTGCCAAGTCACAATCTAGACCAAACCCCTTGGTTTACCAGCCCACTCAGCCCAGGACTGAAAATCCAAAGGCCTGCGTCTGAAAGCTGCTCGGCTAGACTTTGGAAAAATTCCTTAAATCTTTTTTGGCTCTTGAAAAAGACATGAAGCCTGGTATGATGGTGCACACCTGTAATCCCAGAATTTGGGAGGCTGAGGCAGGAGGATTTCTGCGGGTTCAAGGGCAGACAGGTCTACATAGTGAGTTCAAAGCCAGCCTGAACTACTTAGCAAGACCCTGTCCTCAGGGGGGAAAAAAGAAAGAAATGTATTTCATTTTTTAAAACAGCTATTCAGATTCTGAATAAAATAGCACTGATTCTGTAGAAACCAACCAGATTTTGAAAAACAATTCCCAAAGCATAATCAGGTCTTGTGGGGGAAAAAAAATTCTGTATTGTTTGATATTTTTAAGTTTTAAGGATCTGGACATTTTTTTTTTTTGCACATCTTGGTATTGTTATGTGTGTGTGTGTTTTTTTAATTTTATTGAGTTTATTGGTACATTTTAGGGATACAGTACAGTTAGGATCTGGACATTTTAAATTAGAAAAGGAAATCATATAATTGTAAGTATTACTGATAACACTGTGAAAAAAATTCTTCAAGGATGATATGCTCATTCCATCAACATAAATATATAAAAATTCCTTTAATTTACAGCAAGCAACAGTTAAAAGTTTAATGTAAATATTTATCTTAAACATTCACTTTTAAATACACTCTTATTGTATTACTGACTTATGCTTTGACAAGTCAAATGATGAAGAGGTATTACAGTTAGTTGAAAGAAAAATATAAACAAATTACAAAAATAAATGTACCATAGAAATGCCTTTTGATTCGCACTCATATGGCATACAATATTTGAAATTGTTTTAAATTCGTCTGAATCTTATACAAATTGTGTCTTTTGAGAGAAATGACAGTCTACAGCACTTCTATAACTTCACAGAAACTTCTTTGGAAAAAAAAAAAAACTCCTAAGACAAAGTTAAAAACAATGTAGTTGTGCTTGCTCAAGACGGTGGAATATTCCAGGCAGTAAGAGGGCCCACGCCACTAACTACACAGCCAAAGTGAGCCATTCATTCTTGACTCACCGCAAACTCTGAACTGGGTTACAAATAAAACCACTGGAAAAACAATGTTACAACCACTCAAGGGTCACAAGTAACCAAGTCTTACAAAATCACTTCTCTGTAACTAAGAAAAGCAACCCACATAAAGAACTGTTCCTTACAAGTTTGCGTAAGTTCCGGAAGCTGGGGCAACGCTAGAGAGACCCACACTTCCCCGACTGGGCGGTAGAGGGCGTGCTGGTCCCCGGGGTCCTAAGGTCGCAGCTGCGGCCAATCGGTAGCCCAGACTAGTTCCCCGGCCCCCCAGGCGCAGGCCGCAGCCTGGGGCCGCGATCCGACCGCGGTGCCCGCAGACACCAGTGCGGCTCACACCAGCATTCCCGGGGTCCTAGTGTTCACCCTCTTCCAGCGCGAACTTACTTACCTCCCGGGAAGCGCTGGAGTGAGGCCGGCTGACCAGAAAAGCTACTCAGCCCCGCGGCGAGCTCGGAGACGGGGCTGTGGGGGGCTGGTTAACAGCTGTGCCCGCGGTAGCGCTTGACAAAGCAGAAAGGAACTGACTAAATCGCATCCACTCGGAGCTGACGTCAATGTGCAGCTCGCGTGGAGTTTAACTTTTCCACTTCCCTGCTGAAACACGATTCCAGGAAGTGTGGTGACGTCAGCCCTTTGAACTCAATTAGCCGAGGAACAGACCACTTTAAATGCGGGAGGAGAGGGCCTGCGGGAACCAGGCTCGGGCTGCGGTCTCCCCGACGCTGCCTTCCACCGGCACTGAGATCAGAAGCTCAACGTTTGACAGCATGAGCAATACACGCACTTAGTTCCACTGAATGGGGGCGAGGGAGGGAGTGAGGAAGCGGGGCAGGAGCGATGCCTTAGCGTGCAAGGGGCAGGGTACTAAACAAAGAAGCAGTTACACTCAGATGCTGTCACAAAGTGAGCGGAACGTACAGATACCATTAAAAGAAACTTCTTGCTTCCAAGTGGCTAGGAAATAACCTTGTGTGGAGCGCGCAGACGTTCCGCTGTACTTTAGGCGAGGGAGGGAGTGAGGAAGCGGGGCAGGAGCGATGCCTTAGCGTGCAAGGGGCAGGGTACTAAACAAAGAAGCAGTTACACTCAGATGCTGTCACAAAGTGAGCGGAACGTACAGATACCATTAAAAGAAACTTCTTGCTTCCAAGTGGCTAGGAAATAACCTTGTGTGGAGCGCGCAGACGTTCCGCTGTACTTTACAAACTTCAGGAGGATCCTCAACGTGAATCGAAGCCCCCTCTCGCCACCCTTACCTGTTTCCTCTCCAGTTACAGCCATGATGGGCTTCTGCATACAGGCTGCGCTTGTTGCCCCGTCAGTGCTCAACATAAAGTGTTCCCCACTTGCGGCATGTGCGAGGTAAGTGGGGGCGCTGACGTCACCGTGACGTCACCGGCCTGTCCCTGCCCCACACCGCCTCGCCGCCGCCGCCGCCGCCGCGGAGTTCTCTGAAACCAAGAGCTCTGTAAAAGCCTTCCTGTCATAAACCATGTCAGGGCTCCTGCCTTTCCTTTTTACATGGAAACCTGCTGAATTCGGCTCTGGGCAAAAAAAAAAAAAAAAAAAAAAAAAAAAAAATAAAAAAAAAAAAAAAAAAAAAAAAGTCTCCATTAAAAGCTACATAGTTGCATCTTTTGAAGCCACTTCTTTATCATTGTTGCGTCCAG